CAAATTGAAAAAATGGAAGAGGCAAATCTCAATGTATGATCACATCAACTTAATTCTTTCATATTTCTTATAATAATCATTAAAATTTATAATGCTGTAATAAGAAAAATGAAATACAATATGCTATACTATAAGAATAACTAAGGCTATGTTTGGCGTACTAGCTGAAAAACTAGCTGTTAAATAAAAAGCTAACTGATAAAAAATGACGTTTGGTAAAACTAGCTGAAAAGCTAGCTGAAATATATAAAATTACATAAAAAGATATTTAAGAGTATTTCTTTCTATAATTAATTAAGGGGTATATTTGGAAAATTTTAAAAAAGCTCCCAAAAAGCTAGTCTAAGTAGCTTTTCAAAAAGCTAGCTTATAATCTACTTTTTGGCTTGCCAAACACGACAACATAAAAAAGCTCAAAAAATAAGCTAGCTTATCAGCTAGCTGTGGCGCGCGCCAAACACAGCCTAAAATTGACAAGCTGTTAATAATAACTTTCCAAGGTGTAAACATTCACATCTAATCTAAGAAACATTTTTTTCCTCTCTTTCTCTTTTAGTATAACATCAACATATTGGTTTACTATTATTATCATTATTATTATTATTATTATTATTATTATTATTTTACCTTTTTGACCAATGCTACTTTATTAGAAATGTAATGTACACTTGATTACACATGTTAGGAAAGAGGGTAAAAGTGTAAATATGGTGACACAATCATATTTTAGTTGGTGTTTTTTGAGAGGTTTTTTATTTTTATCTCATGCAGATAAATGCTTTGTGTATGGCATTCTATGCAAGATCTGAAGAGGCACGCCAGACTCATTCTGTCCACAAGCTTGCATTGGTTTGTTTTTTAAGACCATTTTGTTTACCTTACATATTTTATTTGCTCTATGGATTTTTGTAATTAGGGTTTAAATTGTGTATTTTTGTTGATTAGTTATCTCAAAACCCCCTTACCAATTTGATTAGTTAAAGTGTGAAGAAATAATGAGATAACTTTTCCCATTTTTTGATTTCGTTTTGAGTAACTTTAGATCACTAGACAAGGAAACTAATTGTTTAGAGCAAATAATTTACTTTTGCATTATTATTTCTTATGTTTACATAATGTAAAGTTCTTGTATATTAGAGCAATGTAATCTAGTTACAAGGCAAATTTTCACTTGTATAATTGGGTAGAATTTTCAATGTATAATGTTCTAATAAGAAAAGAATTGAATGTACAATGCTATAGTTGAATAATATAATTTTTCAAAATACAATGCCTTTCTAATATAAGTAATTACAAGTATGATAACATAATAAAAAAATAAATGAAAGTACGTTGCTATTTCTTGTATATAAGCCTTTGCAAATATTTCATGCAATTTACCTTTATCTTGCATTTAGCACTTTTAATGAATGCTATAATTGGTTAGATTTCTCGAAGAATAATGTCCTAATAAGAAAAAGTTGCAAGTACAATGCCATAAATAATCAAATAGATTTTTCATAGTACAATGCATTAACAATAAAAAAAGGTTAATTACATAAATAATCGAATAGATTTCTTGTATAGATTTTTTTTTGGTTGAGATGAATTAATTAAGATTTATATTTGCAGGGTGCTATTGCTCTAGAAGATGCTTTGTCTAAAGGGTTGCCTATAGAGAAAGAAATAGAAGCTCTTAAAAGCTACATTGATGGAATCGATAAAGATTCCTTATTAGGTTTGGTCATTGCATCTCTTCCTGAAGATACTTTAAAAAATGGGACAGATACCATACTCCAATTAAATCACAAGGTAATCCTTTCTCCGTGCAAAAAGACGTAAATGCCCTTCTCATTTAATTTATATATATATATATATATATATATATATATATATCATGTTTTTCTATTCTTTTTATAGTTTGATGGGTTGAAAGGGACGCTGCGACACTTCAGCTTAATGCCGCCAGGTGGCGGTGGCATATTGGCACATTCATTGGCTTACATTGCATCCGTATTAAAGGTGCCTTCAGATCTCTGATTTCCTCTTCATTATTATTAGTATTTTAATTTTCTATTATGCATGGACCATTTCTGTAAAAAAATACGCAGGGACCTTTTCTGTAAATTATAAGGAGAGCTTTTGTAATTTATTTTCTACACAAGGACCAAACCTGCCAACATATAAAAGTATTGTGGCCAAAGTCTAAAACCCAAACGTAAAAAAATACATATGGACCTTTTCTGTAAATTACAGGAACAATTTTTGTAATTTATTTTCTATAAAGGGGCCAAACCTGCCAACATACAAAACTGTTGTGGCCAAAGTCTAAAACCTAAAAGTATACTTTTCTATACAGGGACCAAACCTGCCAACTTATAAAAGTATTGTGGCCAAAGTCTAAAACCCAAACGTAAAAAAATACTTAGGACCCTTTTCTGTAAATTACTACAGGGGCAATTTTTGTAATTTATTTTCTATACAGAGATCAAACCTGCCAAAATACGAAACTATGTGGCCAAACATAAAGAAAATACCCAGGGATCTTTTCTGTAGTTTATAGGGACAGTTTTTGTAATTTATTTTCTATACAGGGACCAAACCTGCCAACATACGAAAGTATTATGGTCAAAGTCTAAAACCTAAAAATATACTATTTATATACAACTTGCTTTTTATTATATATAATAATGATTAAAATTTTAGGTGAAGGAAGCGGACAAGTCAGGTGATGGAATCGAGTCAGTAATTAACCGGGTAGAAAGTTTGTTAGCAGATGGGAAGCTTCTAGAAGCTGCAGAAACACTTGAAAATGGTCTAAAAGGAAGTCAAGCAACAGAAGTTGTAGGTGACTGGATTCATCAAGCAAGAAATCGTGCTATCACTGAACAAGCCTTAACTCTCCTCCAATCTTACGCCACGTCAGCAAGCTATACTTGATTTCAAAATATCATCCACCATTTTTAAAAACTCACTTTCACTTGTTACAAACTCACTTTCACTTGTTACACATCTTGAGTCAATGTGAATAAAGAGGACCAGAAAATATTCAACTGTGTTTTTGAGTTGACACCATTTTTGGTTGCGAATAAACTTGTTTTTTCTTTTCTTTTTGTTTAATATATTGCAAGGACATAATATTCATGTCATTGTATTATGACAATGCACATTTTTAAGGAATTTTGGACGCATATTGAATGACTTTAAGTGGGAGTTGTTTTGGACGCATAGGAAGTTGTATAAGATCAACGTATGAGTGATCTTGATGTAATAACTAATAATTTGTCAAATCGAGTGGATTTGAAATTGGGGTTAGATTTTTATATTTATGAGGTGAGAATCGTGGAGTTTTGTACACGAGTGTGGTAATTTTAAAAAATATTTACCATTCTCTAGTACTTTTAAAAATATATTCCAAAACATAGTGAAATTGGTTTTAGCTATTGTCCCTACGTATTTTATATTAAAAACAAATTTATTTTACATAGTCCTATTGTTTCGTTCTTTTCCATGGAATTCGCCAGAGCACCACCTCATCTTCTTAAACGCATCCGCACTTCCATTTTTAGGTTAATATAGCTATTATAGAACACCACTAACCTCTTGAGTTTTTGAAACTAGTAGCATACTCGATAATCCGATCTAAGTTTTAAACATGCACTTCAAGTTCACAAAGTACCTAGCTTATAGTTTAAATACTTAACAACATGGCTCATGAATCCTTATGGGTCTTATGTTTTTTTTTAATCATTTTCCTTCTATCTCATGATTTACTACAAATGTCTGTTTTAAGCATACTTAACCGGTCATGGCATCAAACATTTGAATGCTTTGTTTCTTCGAACTTGTAGTTGATTGTACATAAAAAAAATATGTTCGTAGTTTTAAAGCTTGATACAATATGATTTGACAAATTCCCAAGAAATCTAAGGGACTTAAAAAAGATCACTAGATATGAGGGGACTTGTTTGATAATATGTAGAGGGGAATTGAATCGGGAAAAGATGGCATCATGAAAACGTGCACAGTGATGTAGCAGAAGTAGATATTTTATTTTCTAGGCATAGAATGCAAAACTGCTAGAAACTCACTGATACGACGTTGATGGAATAGGCCCGACGGAAAACGGCGGCAGATGGCAAGAGGAGGGAAACCGAAATACAAGAGAAAACATGAGAGAAACCGGCGACGGAGGAGTACATGTGAGGGAACCGGTGAAGGAGAAAATTGCTTGAGGGAAACCTTTGGAAAGGCAACGTCTTGCAAAACGCAAAGGAAAAAGGGAAGAATAAATGTCAATGACAAGGTGAGCTTAAACATGGAGGAAAAAAAAAGAAGATAGGAATAAAAAGCAGCCGGTGAGCAGCCTGTGAAACAATCAAGCAAAGCATCCATGCTTCTGTATTTCCCTTTTTTCCGGCGAGTAAGAACGGAGACAGAGAAGATAAGAAATCGTGAAGTAGCGTGGTCTGTGGTGGGGCCACTTTACTCTTTTTCTTTTATTTAATAAACAAAAAAAAATTCAATCCAACTATATTTTTACTATTATTCTGTAAATAAATTTGAAACTACCACATTTTGGTAAATATTTTTTCCAAATACCATGTTTTGGATAAAAACTCGAGAATCGTGGTGTAGGCTATGCATCACATTTTTTTTTTGTGTGTGTGCGTTGTGTAGACATTGTGAATCCTCTCTCTTAGATGATCCATGATATGAGTTTAGCTTTTTCAAACCAAAATTCTTGAAAACTATGGAGTATCTTTTTCATATCTTCCCAAAATTTAAAAATGTTTGACATAAAAATCAAGAATAAAAGACTTTTTCCATCCATCCTAGATTAACAAAATAGACATATCGGCGAAGTACTTTATTTGGAATAAAAAGTATACAAAGATTGGAAGTGTATGCAAAAGTAATTATTCACATTTTTTTAAGCAAATAAAACTTCTAAGAGGATGCGGTATGGGCCAAAAACGAGAAGCAACCGGATGATGTGGCACCCTCAACGGCGTCGTGACGGGGGGGGGGGGGGGGGGACACCGCCCCCCCTACTCGTTTTTGCTCGTTATGTTGCATCTTGTTGTAACGAGGGCAAGATAAAACAAGAAAGATGATTGGCTATCTCCTTCATCAATCAATCAAATAATTTTCTTTATTTTCTCTCTCTACCTCTTAACATGATATAACATGTGGAACACCATTTCCCCCTTGGTGTTATGGATGAGGTGGCACCAATTTGGTGTTTACATCCAGTTGCCCACACCCAATGCTCTAAGAAAAATCAAGGGATCAAAGGTGTCCGTCTAAAAATCTGATATAATATCCAATTTATTTTCCAAATCAAGGGGCGTCCATGGACACCCTTTGTATATACATATAGCAATATAGCATCGCCCTTGTATCTTATAATTCTCTTGACAACTTCCCGATGATGTGAATAAGATCTCTACGAGTGTACTAACCAAATATACAATTCACACATTGGTCTATTCGATGGATAAATTCTTGAAATGAAATACGTGTGCCTCATTTGAATAGAAGAATAATTACATTCCTCATATGAATAATATCCGTAATAAGGTTGGAATAAAAATAAGGTGAATTAAGTACCTTAAAAGTCATAACATTTTTTTGAAGTCTTGTATTTTACTAACAAGTTGTCAACATATTCAAGGTGGCAAAACTCCTACATAGGTTGTCAAGATATTCAACCTGGTAAAAAATTTACATTTATATGAATAAGTAAAACGATTGAGAAATGTATAAATTACATACATGATATCGATAATAATTTTCTACTGAAATGTATAAATTACTTGTTGGATTTGGAAAACTTTATTATAGATATATTGGTTAACACTTCTTTGAATACCCACATAATAAGGAACCTTTCGGTTATTTGTCAAGAACTCGGAAATGCTTACATTTAAAGGAAAACAAGAATTAACACACACACACACACACACACACACACACATATATATATATATATATATATATATATATATATATATATATGATTTACATGTGAATTACATGTTATTCATATGTGAATTACATATGAATCATGTAATTCATATGTGATTTAAATGTGAATCATGTAATTCATATGTGATTCACTTGTGATTTACATGTGAATCACATTAGATTTACATGTGAATCACATGTAATTCATATATGATTCACTTGTGATTTACATGTGAATCACATGTTAATCATGTAATTCATATGTGATTTACATGTGAATCATGTAATTCATATGTGATTCACTTGTGATTTACATGTGAATCACATTAGATTTACATGTGAATCACATTAGATTTATATATGATTCACTTGTAATTTACATGTGAATTACATGTGATTTATATGTGAATCACATGTAATTCATATGTGATTTTCATGTGAATCATATGTGATTTACATGTGAATCACATGTAATCAGAAGGCTGAAAATGCAAAAAGTAATGATTTTGAAATGTGAATGTTGTGTTATTTTGATCATTATCTAATCAAAACTATAAAAATGGTCCCGGTGTAAAATTAAATTACATTAATGGTCCCTGTGTAAGACAAAGTACGTTGCTATATCTTTTTGTATAATATAAAATACGAGAAACTAATTTATATTTATTTTTTATATTTTGGAAGCAATTGAAGGAAATATTGACAAAACAGGCGGAACTAGGAAAATGAGACCTTTTTAAGACCATTTTCAACCCATAATACCATTTTTTGCACCAAAAAGTATATTCTTTTTTTTTTAAACTTATATAGATTTTCAAAAATACACCCCTTACATTTGTTAGTTTTTTTTGCAAATTCATCTTGTAACTTTTTTGTTGCATTAACTTTATAAATTATATTAAGACACGATTATAACCAAATAAATAAAGTAATGTAAATTTATAACATAATATTACAAGTAATAATGGGAAAAAACTAGTTAGATAAAGTGTTGAATAGATAAATGATCTTTGTATGGAGCAAGTGTTAGTAAATGACCATTTTACCCTTGTGTGTAGGACTAGGAATGATGTTGAGAATATATTACTGCTAACATGATGGATTCATGTTTGTCAATCGCCTCAATCTTTCCTCAGCCAAACGAACTGCACGGATGGAGCTTTTAACACCTTGGGTTATCTCCTGCCTGCAGAAATATCAGACTTGACTATGGTATTTGTTTTTTTTTTCATATTAAGTCTTGTCTGAATAACTGAATACAGTGTTATGTGGATAAATTATGTTTAAAAAGTCTCTGAGAAATGAGGGCACCCTTGGGGCAAGTTTGTAAAAAGATAGGACTTGAGGGGGAAAAGTTCAGTTTCTTGACTTTCTCTATTAAGTCATTCTTTATGTAGTAAGTAAAAAAAGAAACACTCATATATATAGCTTACTGGATTAAGTTAAGTCCTGACTTTTTACAAATATGCTCTCATTTACTTTTTCCTTCCACTTAATATTTTATCCAAAGAGCAGTGTATCCAGACATAACTTAATGGGAAAAAAGAATGCTAACCCTAAATCACTGAGCTCCATTGTTAAGTCACTGATTTCCATTCCTGATAAACGAACATCAGCCATTGTGTCAGGAAGCTCTTCCCTAGTTATATCAAGCAGTTTTTCAAGAGACTCTGCTGCCCTTTTAAAAGCCTGAGTTCAGTCAACCGAATGGGAGAGTCAAAAACAGGAGTAAATGGTCAACATATTTAACTTTAAGTTTCGTTTTCTTTTGCTGCCCACAGTAAAGATGGGACATAGACTCGTTCTTGATCTCTCGATTGTGCAAAAGACATTAATGCCTTCCTCATATATATCATTAGCAATAGCCTAGAAAACGTGTTTCTTGTGTAAAAAACGCATGCTGAGGTATTTGTGTCACGTTTATCAGCCATGTGTTAGTGCAAATGAGACAATGTAAGGACAAGCCAAGATCATTACACCCTGGTACTGGAACTATGTTTGCATTGTAACCAAAGGGTAAAACTGGAAAACTATATTAGTATATGCTAGTTGTAAATGATTGTAAACAGCAAGGTAAAAAGTTCAAGATTCCAAGAACTAACCAGAAGTGTAGGAATTGCAGAGCAGAAAAGCCAAGTAGCTGAGATCGCTGTCTGCAGAATAGGAGTTATAAATAATTAATGATCAAGACCTAGCATCATATCAGTTGAAATTTGTTAGAGATAAGAGGAAAATTTCTCCAATCTATGAATCCTAACCAAAAAATTGTTATCCTGGACCTTTAATTCGTTGAAATCGGTTCAACTTGCTCACCAATTGATTGCTATGGGAGAGGAAGTCAGAATTACCGACTTCGATGTCAGCGGTGGAGATGACGACGACCGAGTTTCGGAGTGGGAGGCTGGGTTGCCGAACATCGATGACTTGCCGTCGTGATCACAGTTGCTGATATCGGCGGAGATGGCATCGACTTTCAGCATCACGCCCGGTCCTCACCGGAGTATGATTGACGTTGACTGCGCTTCTCGTAACACAGTTTCAAGTCTCCAAGGGCAATCGCAACAAAATCGAAGACGGAGCCATGGATTAACTCCAAATCTGGACAAAATTGTAGAAGTATGGAGGCAGTAGACTCAAACTCGATTGGTAACGAGAGTTTAATTAAGGAACATCGACTAACTTCAAATCTAGACGACATATATCTCTGGAATGAATTCCACCATCACATCGACCAAAGTTTCGTTTTGTTCAACTCGTCCTACAGATTTGATCGGAATCAGGGAATATCGATGGAGACGAAAGAGAGATGATGAGGACGGCGCTCAATCGATGGGGGTGACGAATACCGGAGATGGCCATGGATTTCATACGGTGGCGTTTGATGAATCGGCGATGAAGTTACGGTGGTCGTTGGAGGGCAAATCGTGACAGAGAGTGAGAGGGAAAGGGGGAGAGAGAACGAGATATGTTTCACTTGCGATCTGCGATTTAGGATATTATTAAATTAAATTTGTGTTTCCTATAATACCCTTGTATTTTTAAGTTAAGATACCCATGCCTCTATAAGTTTTCATTTATTTACAAAAATGCCACAAATGATCTTGGTCATCCTTTTTTTGATCTAACGTTCCACCATAGTTTTCAGGTTCTCGGGAAACTATAAGTTCTCAATTGATATTCTTATATATATATATATATATATATATATATATATATATATATATATATATATATATATATATATATATATATATATATATATATATCGGACAAAAGTTTAAAATAATTTCAAGCTTTGCAAAAGAATTTAATTTTTATTAACGGAATTCCAAAAAATATAGAACATATTAAAAACTTCTCAATAGTGTATAAGACAACAATGTGATGTTAAATTAACATAATTTTATCATGAACTCGTAGTAAGAGAAATTAAGTTCACTCTAAAACTAAAATACTAAAAGTATCTTCAATATGTCAAGTCATAATGTTGCGCCTCTAACTATAAGGCCACAAGGAGCGGAGTGGTTTAGCGGGTGCGGGAACCGAACCGCGGCCGAAAACACAACACCGTGACCGTAATTTTGGGTGTGTGGTTTGCGAGTGAGGGGAGGCTTCCCCGCCTCCTTTCTCTTCATTCCATTGGTCGATTTTTTTTCTTATTCAAATGGTAACATTCAAAAAAAAATTTATTTTCCTTTTTTATTTTTTGAGTTTCAACGGCTAGAAACATTAAATTTATATTTTTTTAAATACATTTACCACTCTATAGATACCATACAAATCTAACATAATTTTCAAACTTATTTCTACATATTCTCTCAAAAAACTCACTCAAACACAATGTCGTCATCATCATCTTCGTCCTCCGATTTGATGGCTCAAGAAGAGACATTATTTGTCGGTTCCGTCATGGCAAAAACAATAACGTATTTTCGAAACCGACAAGGTCAAAGTTCACGTTCACGAACTAAAACAAGAAGCCCACCGTTGTTGAGAAATTGCGAAGTCGGGCACAATCGTCTTACAGAAGACTATTTTACAGATGACGCCGTGCACACTGAAAAGTTCCGACGACGGCTCTGGATGAGGAAAGAGTTATTTTTACGTATTGTTGACGATTTGGAAGGCCGTTTTCCAATGGAAGCGGGATGCGAGACGCATAAAAGGTTTTTCTCCAATTCAAAAATGCACAACTGCAATTCGTCAGTTAGCTTATGACATGTAAGCAGACAAATGAGATGAGTATTTGAGGATGTCCGAGCGTATCACTGTAACACTCGTTCCCAAAATGGATCAGGTGAGGGCTTGGTGGGATCCGAGATCTGATTTTTGGGAAAAACTAGGTGCCACGACGTGGTGATTAGAGCACCACGATGTGGCGTATTTTATGCATGATCGCGTGTTTAGTTGGTCGCCACGACGTGGCAACAAAAGGCCACGATGTGGCATTTGTGGCAACCAAAGCCCATGATTTTTAGGGTTTTCTCCATATTTAAACACCTAATCTCAAGGATTAGGGCATCCTTTTTAGCCTCTAACCCTTTCAAACGAAACCCTAGCCTCCTTGGAGTGAATCTTGTTGTATTAGTGGTGGTTCTTGAAGTTTGAAGCTTTGGCTTGCATTTTTGGAAGATGGAGTGGTGTGCTTACTAGTTTGTAGAGTGCATCACTTCAGATCTTGCACCTCATGCATCTTGTGGAGCTTTGGGAGGTATAAAGCTTCCATTTTTTTGGTTATCTCTTCTTAGATCTAAGATTTATTGCATTTCTTGGTTCATATTCAAGTTTGGGTTGGCTTGATGAGATAAAGTTTGCAACTTTATAGCTCATCTTGGTCCCTTGGTCACTATATCTTTTGGATCTGAAGTTTGATTGTGTTTTGAGCTCCATGTATGAGATTTTAGTCTTTTTGCCCCATTTTGACCTAGATTGAGATCTAAACTTGCATTGGTCGTGCATGTCCATAAAGTTGCGATTTTTATGTTGGAATATAAGTAAGAAGTCCTTCCGGGAGTTATGGATTTGTGGATTTGGTTATTAAGAGCTTAAAGGTTAAGCCCATGCCTTAAGTTGTCTTTAAGGATCTAGGTTTAGAGATCTAGACTCATTGGGATGTATTAATAGGGAAAGTTGGAAACTTTATCCATCAAGACCTTGGGAAGGACTAGATCTGAGTTTTGGAGCTCTTGAGGTTGAGGGAAAAAAACTTAATGCATTAAGATGTTAAGACCTAGTTTCCCACAAAGTGGCAAATGGAGGCCACGATGTGGCGACTGGGGGATGCCCGACTATTTTATCGTTTTTCTCCCACGACGTGGAAATAGGAGGCCACGACATGACGACCTGCTGAAGTGGACTTCGACCTTCACCGTTGACTTTGACCATGGATGAATCTTGGTCAATTTTGGGGTTTTAGGGTGTAGACTAAGAGGGTACTTCTTTATTGATGTTAGGTGTCTCATCGTACTTTTATACCCGATGTGTGAGCTGTTGAGGGCTAGCTGCTATTCTCGAGGCGAGTCTTCTCACTATACTTGCCTGTGTGGTAGTATATGCATATCGACCAGCTGGTTCTTATTTGTTAATTTCTATTATATGTGAAATGAGTTGCTGACAACTCCAAGACTGTTGTAAGTCTATGGGACTACTGTTAGTCCCCAGGGTTGCTGATAACCCATGAGGTGTGCTGTTAATCCACCGTGCATGCTGTTAGCCTATTGGGACCGCTGATAGTCTCCAGAGTTTGCTGATAACTATCAGCTGATTATTATGCTGTGTTGTATGTGGTAATTTGGAGAACTCACTATGCTTTGTGCTTATAGTTGTGGATTAACTATTTTGCAGGTACTTATCAGATTGCGAAGGTGGGACTATACACACACATCAACAAATTTATGATTTGAGATTCCGCATTATTTTCTTATTAACTTTGATTTCGAAATAATGGTTTATGAACAAATGGTTGTAACTTTACTAAAAATGGGTGTTATATTATTTTAAAAGTGCAAAATTTAGCCCTGGTTTTTGGGATGTTACAAGTTGGTATTAGAGCCCTGGTTTGAGGGATTTGGATGGAAACTCGTAGGATTCTAAACTCAAACTATGGAGCTGAGAGTTTTGCTAAACCTTTTGGAGAATTTTCATTTTAAGAGAAGAAAAGAGAAGATGCGATGTGTACAGTCAGCTGGAGCTCAAAAAATGATTTTCCAAAATATACATACTTGCTTTATATGTCGTATTTGACTTGCTGTTATATGTGTTATAGTATGATGTGCATGCTATAAGTTAGGCTAAAGATCTACTCAGGATTGCATGCTATAGTGTTTGCTCAGGAGAGATGCCTTTTGTGTGTGATTTATGAGGTGTTAGAGATGCATGATAGTGTGTAGGCTAAGGATCATCAAGAATAGGGTGTTAGAATTTCCTGATCCGTATGATGCCTTTTTTCCTGTTGTTTTTTTTCTGCCTGAATTCTGCTTGCTTTGTGCTATGTAAAAGCTATATTGATGTTAGTTAGCTATTGAATGAATACTGTTAGTTGCATGCCACAAGGATTAAATAGTTTCAGAATGTCTGATTTGGCCTATTGTGCAGCTCATCTTTGAGTCTAACATTTGTATTGCAGGATCTTTCAGCCGGATAACTGTTTAATCCTTGCTGCATGTAATTGTATTCGTAATATAGTTAGTTGACATTGGTGGATGTTTCTGTCGTAGCTAATAACAAGGTGGGAATGAGTATTCCTAGTGATCTTATGGGAGTGCTAGAGTGTGTTGGTGTGAGCACTTGCATATGAGGAAGACTAAGTTAGGAATCTAGGCAGTTTGTGGTGGCTTTTCGAAGCATATAGGTGTGTTGATACACCTGGAAGTGGTGGAGTTCCTAGAAAATCATTCTAGTATGTGTTCATACGTGAGAAGAATCCTAGAGTGGGAGAGTCTATGATGGGTGGTAGTGTGTGTGCCTGTAGTGGCACATGTATCTGAGATTGATAGTGGTTTGGTATAGTGACTTAGAGGCTTTGAGGCAATTCTTGGGACACATACAGATATGTGTGGAAGGTAGTAGGGGCCCATACTTCTGAAAGAACAGGATCCATACAGGGACCAGGAAGGGTCGGAAAGGTTTATAAGGAGCTAAGGAGGGGTAGATAGTGTGTTATAACACTAGCACAATTTCAGTCGTTCCCGTCGCTGTCGACCTGTCGACTATGATTGTTCATAATGAGATCGGTAATCGTTTGGGCCCTAGTGTCCATGACAGTTTGGTTTTGGTTGGTGCATATATGTGTGAGTTAGTTGATTCAAAGACCGCGCTGCCCTTGCGTGAAGTAGTGTCAGACTGAGTCACATGACTCAAGGAGGAATCCGCTATGTGTGAGTTAGCCGATGGCAAGGGATGTTACTTTATGTATCGGGATTGTGTTTTCCTACCTACTGGACTCGAGGGGGAAGAGATCAAATATGGGTCAGTCGACGATTAAGATCGGATGTGGGTTGTGTTTTCCTGCTTATGGTTGATATGTATTGTTGGAACCTAAAATTGAACCTCTAGCAATCTCTAACCCTTGAAGTTCCGAAGTCAGGCGTGAGTTCGAAATGGTTATGGTACGAGATGGTGGTTGAAGTCCGGAGTGGAGTTTGTGGTACGTGATGAAGAAATGTTCTGAGATAATGTGTCAATCTATGTATTAATTAT